ACTTAACAATTGTGGCAAGAAAATGTGTAAAATGGGGCAAAACTCACTTAATTGTCTCGCTTAGCAACAGAAATTTGGGGCTCAACTGTAGCCATGAAGTCAAGGCTACATGTAGATGCATCTTGAACCTATAAAGTATAGTTGTTCAAATCTTTCATAATACAAGTTATGGAGTATGTGCAAGCAAAGTGAGTGACATCTATGACATCTATAAGATTTTTATTACCACCTAGAATAAGAGGACTGGAAGGCCTGGAAGAACATTGTCCATGGGATCGCGATGGGTTGGACACGACTTTGCAACTAATAACAAAACAGAATAAGAGAGTGATAGTGACCTTGAGGTAGATCACAACCTTTCTCTGTCATATTTTTTGTCTTCCATTCAATCATGTCCGATTCTCAGAGACTACCTGGACAAATTCCTGGAGCTTTCTTGACAAGGTTTTTCAGAAGTGATTTGCCCTTGCCTGCTTCTTAAGGCTGAGAGAGACTGGCCCAAAGTCACCTAGTTGGCTCCATGCCTATGATGGGACTAATATCCCCAGTCTCCTGGTTTGTGGCCTAATGCCTTAACTGCTATATCAAATCGGCTCTCTCATGAATATCAGAGAGAGAGCGCGCCCCTTTTTATTGCCAGTATCTGTGAGTTTTTAGGATTTCTAGGAGATGAAGTGACACATATCTAGAGCACTGTGTTTGGAAGATAAAAAGCGAATCTGATCAAAAATGAGTGAGAACCGCTGCACTAATGAAAAACTTCACAAGATGATTAGATAAATCTAGTATGTCAAAAGAGAGGGACAAAATCTCTTTCACTATGAGGCTAGTTTTTATTTTATTTGCAGGAAGTGTTTTTTTTTCATGATACAGAAAATCTTCCTTCATTCTTAAGTGCAGTAACACCTCAAGTCCAGGGGTGAAATGCTACCAGTTCAGACCGGTTTGCCCGAACCAGTAGTAAAAAAATCCTACTGGTTCAGGCGAACCAGTAGCTCTGATGATCAGCTGTGCCACATGATTAGATCATCGAAACTACTGGTTTGCCTGAACCTGTTGCATATTTTTAATGTTCCGACAATCAGTTGTGTCGCGCGATTTATATTCACTAGAAAGCAGGAAATCCTGCTTCCTAGGGCATCTAAATTGTGCGGCACTGCTGTTCCCCCCCCCTGTTCTACTTACCTTTGCAGGCTCAGAAAAGGCTTCTTAATCCTCCTTTTTCAGCGCTACGTAGTGGCGCCTGTGGTGTGCATGTGCGTAAAGCGAACCAGTAGCGATGCGAACTGGTAGCAAACTTCAGAGCATTTCACCCCTCTGCTCAAGACTCATTTTTCTGACCTGGAGTTCTATCTTCTCAGAACTTCAGCCTGTTGTGCTTGGTAACCTCAATTATGAAAATTACTGTTCCATTTGAGAAGCTACAGTTGAGCACTAAAAGTCTGTTGGTTTTTGTAAGCAAAATAATGTGGATATTTTTGGGGAGAGAGAGAGACCAGACGAACCCTTGAAAAGAATATTTCCATAATTAGACTACTGAAATCAAAAGGATTATTTCTTGAATTGTCACTTCAGGAGCATCTCTTAGAAATTTCAGGTTGAAGTAAAATGAAGTGATCCTTCTATATTCTTGTTTGAAGCTCTGAATGACTTTAAAGGTCACTGCATCCCATTTAACTGAACTTGGAAAAAAATCTAGGAGCCAGAGCAATTGGCAAAGCACATGTAATGTGATCATAATGACAGTCCCATTTGACCCAGAAGTAGAATATAAATGTTTTAACAAATGTGGAGACAAACATCTTTTGACTAATAATCTCATATTATATGGTGACCTAAATTTAGAGGGATGGTATTATGAATACTTGCCAAAGGGATACTGCAATACATGTTTTTTAAAGACCATTCATAAAAAGGGAAGTTTTCAAAAAGAATTGTTTTTGGAAAAAAAGATGATGGATAATTTATAATTCTTACAAAGTTTATATATGAAACAGGCCGTTACTTGAATCATGGTTCTTCTCAAATTCATGGTACATTAATTCTTGCCACTAGCAAGATGATTTGCTTCTTTCAGGAGCATAAGTACTCACTATGTCAGTGTGGGGAAGACAGTTCTATTTTTCTTTTTGTGGCATTTTTAAAAACAAATCATTGCCATTTCCTCTGGTACACCTCAGGCAAAATACTGGATTTATTCTGGTTGTCTTCACCAGCACAAGCAAAATTTTCCTTCCTTCCTTCCTTCCTTCCTTCCTTCCTTCCTTCCTTCCTTCCTTCCTTCCTTCCTTCCTTCCTTCCTTCCTTCCTTCCTTCCTAATTGAGTGAAATGAATTTTAAATACAATTCTAATGATGTCATTGAATTTCCTTAGAAAAGTAGATGTCATTTCATGCATACTTCTTTAGGTAGAGATAAAGGCAGACAAGCCTAGATGAAATCAGTACAAAGGAAATACATTGAAAATAAGAGCCTTTCTACCTGCATATTTGATTCACTAACATTAATGGAACAGCTCATCATGGTGATTTGCTTTGGCTTTGTCATTTGATTGGGGGAAGGGGATTGTTAATAATTCCTTTTATTTACTGCTTGTAATGTACAGGGTTTCGGTTGGTTTGGAAGCCTCCAGATATCATGTATGGTTCCTTTTGGGTATGCTATATAATTTGTCATTGTCAAAAACAAACAAACAAATGATTACGGCAATCCAAAACGTAATAATGATGATATGATGAAAAATGCTTTCTTGATCTATTATTTTTACATAATTGAGTATGCTATGGAGTTCAAAGCTGATGAATGAGAAATGTAATTAAATGCAGTTATGTTTAATATTTAAACTATCCAAAGCTGCTTAAGATGTCTATCTGAAAGGGAAAATATAGATTCCTAGCTTCTTTTCTATAAGAGAGCATGGTGAAGATGTACATTTATTATCAATATTTGGATTTAAAAAAAAACAAAACAGGAATGAAGTTCTGTTTTGACAGGGGCTGGATCCAAGCGGTTACAGGAGGTGACACGGGGCTGGATCCAAGCGGTTATTACCGCCTCGCTTNTTTAGAAGCCCCAAGCAGCCGAGGCGAAGCAGCTGTCCGGGGAGAGGCGGAGGGGCTGAGCTTGGACAGCCTCAGAGGCAGCCGCTAGCTCCGAGAGAGAGAGAAAGAGAGAGGAGGGGGAGGGGCTGCTCAAAGCAACAGAAGAAGAAAAAATCTGTGAGGGTAGCCCGTGGTGTCCACATGGAGTAAAGTGTTCTCCTCCCTCAGCCATTGGCAACAGCTCCCAAGGACGTGCGGGTGGGAATGCGCTCGGCTCAAAGAATGTACGCTCCCAGTTGCTAGGAGAGCCTCAAGGCAGCTGGAGGCTTTTTCATAACTTAAAAAAAAATCGGGACTTTTTTTAAAAAAACCCGGGACGCGGGACAAATTGTTCAAAAGAGGGACTGTCCCGCTGAAATTGTTGTACTGGTTGAGCTTGGCTCAATTTTCTAATCTTGAGATGTGTTCATTCTCAAATTTATTGAGGATTTTTAAAAAACCAGTTTGTCTTTATTCAGATATTCATAACTTCTTTTAAAAGGAAGTCAAGTGAGGTAGTAATATCTCCCCCCCCCCCCGGCCCAATAAACTCTGCTTGTATGTAGTAGCAAGTCGACTTTTGTTATTTTGTAATACATTCAGAAACAAATACATTGCAATATTTATTTATTCATTCAAATTGTATGGCTGCCCATCTCTAATCTTAAAATAAATTCAAAACAAATCCAGTCAAAAATGCAAAGTTAAAACACATAGCAATTCAATGGGCCATTTGAACTTATGATGGCACTGAATGGATGGCAGGTAAGATTTTACCTTGGAATCTGTATACAAGTCAACTGAGTCGCACTTATGGCCAATTGCAGTGCCCCACAATCATTTGCAAATTTGCCTGCCCCCTTCCCCAGCATGTCACTTGGAAGCCAGGAGGGAAAGATACGAGTCATAAGTCACTCAGATAAGCTTCACCCTTCTCCTTTGCCAGCTACTCGCATACCCCTCCGCACCCTCCCAGATCTTCACCATGCCTCCCTTGCACACTCCCCAAACTTTGCTGCATTTCCTTTGCACCCTCTCCAGACCTTGGCTGTACTTTCAGTGAAAACACTGTTCTGCACTATTTCCCATTTGGGGCACCATTTTCAGCCGAGATATATCCTTGGAAGTAAAGATGATACTTTCAGTTGCCCCAAACCAGCTTGCCATTTTTGTTTTGATTAAAAGAATATTTTAAAAAGTCAGATGGAGCAGGGAGCCAGATGGAAACAAAGGATGGTGTCTATGGACAGGTTACAGGTTTTGGGGATGAAATATTGGGGTCTTCAAATATAATGATTTTTTAAAAATTTATGATGGGATGTTTTAGCCGTGTTATACCTTTGTTTATAAGCTATCTCATGAGTAGTTTTAAAAATTGCATCAATATTGTTAGGATATCAGGCTACTACCAATTGTTTTGCTAAAAAAATATTATTTAACAATAAATCTCAAGTTCAGTATTTTGTGAGCAGACCTGAATTTGATAATAATGTGAAAGCTGGGCTCTAGTTATATACGCAAGTTAAAGATGAATAATTGGATAAAGATGAATATATCTCTATCTTATTTATCTTTATCCAATTCTTTATCTTTAAGATGAATAATTGGATAACCATTTGTCTGAAGTGCCATAGGGTTTCCTGCCTAGGGTTGGACTAGAAGACCTCCAAGGTCCTTTCCAACTCTGTTATTCTGTAAATATTCTGTAAATTATTTCAGTATAAATCTAATGGTGTTCAAATCAGAGATATAAATCTGTCATTAAATAATGTTTCTTTTTTGTTTTCTTACATTGCAACTTCATCCATAAACTTGCTTAGCATGTTTAAAGGGATAACAATAATTATTTGATAAATGTTTACAAACGCTCTGTATTTTGTTCCCATTTTTATTGCTGGTACTGTTTATTTTTATATAGCCATGGACACAGGGCAGACAGGTAAATGGTACAGCAGATGTAAGTTGTATGCAGTATGAATGGAAAGCTTTTGCATGTTGCAGTCCTGGCGAGCTCATGCTTTCATAACCCATTTAGGCATGTTGGCAACACTTCTCTTGACCAATTAAAATGAGTGATATCTGGTTTTTTAAGTTTTTTGACTTGTGTTGAAAAGAAAATATTGCTGTTTCTCTAAATGTTCTATTATGCATCTGTAGACATATCAACTTAAAAGTGAAATAAATTTTATTCAATTCAGAAGTGAACCCAGAATTAAAATACTTAGGAATAAGTCTATATGGGATAATACCATTAGTGAGTTGATCTTGTCCTCTGTGTAATAGTGTAAAATAGCTCATTTTCCTTTCAGTTGTGGGCAGTACCTCATATTTTAAATAAATATTTCCCAAGATATGTAGGGAAAGGGAGAGGGGGAGAATAAAGTTCTTGTGCTGCATCTAGAGTATTTCCTGTTTAATAGTCTAAGTGGTTCTCAACCTTCTCTTCACCACGGGCACCCCCCACAATACCTTTTGTGGCCATGGATCATGGCCATGGGACCATCAAGACTTAACTCATGATTTAAATCATTACATTTCTTCAAGTCTTTGCGGACCTCATGTGATGACATCACAGCCCCCCCCCCCGCAAGGGTCTGCAGACTACATGTTGAAATTGCTCAGACCAGTATGTGAACTTCAGAAAAACTTCATCCATTCACAAAACCTGTCCTGTACTTTAATTGAGGTCTTGTTATGTTTACTTTGTCTTTTTTTTGTACACAAAGAGTATGCCACAATTAAATAAATGATTTAAAAATTCCTGTTTCACCTGAACAGTGAAAATAACAAACTTCTTTACTACTCTGGGAGGTGTGTTATATTAATTTTAATTTAAATCAACTGTAAAATGTAGCTGCAAACAAGTCCATTTTTTGTTTGCTGTTCTGTTTTACCTCAAGTGAAATGTTTACTATCAGTAAATAATTGTAAGGGAAAAGTTAATGACAAAGGATTTTTGCAACTGAAAATAAAAGTTACAAATCTAAAAAATATTGTTAATAGGCATTTTAATTCTGCAGTTGCTAAGTGAACACTTTGAAAATTTTCTGCCTTGGAACTGCTCCTTTCAAAGAAACAGTGCTCCTTTTTATTATGTATATTGGCTAGGTGATAAGTTGATCCATTAAACAGAAGTGTTTTTTATATGAAAACAACAGGTAAAACATTCCTTTATTTGCTTTATACATTTCTTTGGACGATGTTTGTTTTGAAAGGGCCCTTATTTTTTTTAAAATTGTTAATTAAATTGTTAATTTTTTTAAACATGATCATGCCAAGGGATAGTTAGTATTTTGCACCATGTTTGTATATTTGTAAACATTACTATTTATAGTGTTGATTTCCCTGCAGTTTCTTCTTTTCAACATTTTTTTAAATATTGAATTTTTTAATAATATATTATTTAATAATAATAAAGTAATAATATACTTTAAAAAACACTTTGAAGACCATAAGAGCACAAGAAGATTCTTGCTTGATCAGGTCATAGATGCTTTATTGAAGAATCTGGATTTTTGCATATAAAATGTAACACACAGTGAGTGACAAGACACAACAATAGCAATGGCATTTTAAAAAATGTTGCCTATTTGGGGGTTTTAAATGTAGCATGGATTCTGTAACATCTTAAATATTTGTGATCTTGTGCATGAAGCATGAAGGTATAAATTAAATGTTATGTTTTTTTCTAAATTTAAAAGAAAAATGGATTTGAAATGTAAGGTGTTTCTATATATAGCAGATTGAATGGGAAGTTTGCTTCTGACTTTCTTTTGAAATACCTAAGAGAAAAAAGATTAACACAGCAAAAACCTTAGAAAATATTTGTGTAGAAGGAACATAGTTATTGACTATGTGGTATATTTTGTGTAGATATCTGTCATATTGCTCTGCTGTGTTTATTCTTGGGGTCAGCCACAATTTGCAAGTGGCAAATTGGATTTTTAACTATACTCTGATGGCATATGAATAATTTAAAAGACAAAATCTATTATTTAAATTATGTATTTCTAATAACATTTTAAAATAACTGTTTATTAAAATACTGTTTGTATCTTTTTCTAGGACAGATGGGCGCCGTTGGTCCTTGGCCTCCCTCCCTTCTTCTGGATATGGAACCAACACTCCAAGTTCAACTGTTTCAGTAAGTTCATGCTCACTGTGTTGATTAGTGAATGATTCCAGGTTCTTTTCCTCCTGATAGCTAGTACAATTTGAGATGTTTTAGATAAATATTTCTTTTTTCATATTCTGACAGAAATGTATTCTTAAAACACTTTTGATGAAAATGTCATAACTGATTCAGGTTCTAAATGAAAATATATTCTTTATTTCCTTCATAATGAAGTCCCACTCATTCTATTATTCATTTAGAATATATTAACTAAAACCCTTGACAAATATGATACATGAACATTTGTATTTTTTTCTCCTTGAAACGAATCATTATGTATTTTTGTAAAATATTTGCCTGTCCTTAAGTATTCTCTTGCATACATTTTGTTCTTAGTCATCTTGCTCATCTCAGGAGAAGCTACACCAGCTGCCCTATCAACCAACAGCTGATGAACTTCACTTTCTGACAAAGCACTTCAGCACAGAGAGTATCACTGATGAGGAAGGAAGGCATTCTCCAGCAATGCGGCCTCGATCTCGTAGTCTGAGGTAATCCTTCATCCTTTTGCTTAATTACCTCTGATATCCTCACAAGAAAAATTACTTTTGTTTCATCCATGAATTGCTGCAATACCATAATTCAAATGATAGACTGTATGGTTTGTATACAATGTCACATTCAATCCTTGGCATTCACAACTAGAACTGAAAAAAAAATCTCTTGCTTAAAATTTTGAAGAACAGCTGCCAGACTCAGTGGGCTAGATGGACCAATACAGGTCTTGCATCTACTGTGTAACTAGTAGCTATCTTAGTTTCTTGAAATGTTCCGAAAGCCATTAATTATTTTTAATACTTTAAATTTGATAAAGTTGAAATCAATGCAAATATCTCCTTTAATCCACACTGTTTTAAACTGACCTGACCATTGGGTAGGGAAAGGTTAAAGATTAGAAATATTTATTTTACCAAATTTACTATAGCCACCTGTTCTGTCCCCCCTTCTTCGCTCGTTAACAGACGACAGGCAGACAGANTAATAAATAGACATAGTCCCTGACTCCCAGGGATTCATTTAAATAAAAATGGATGAGTAAGATTTCTTTGTTGCCTTTAGATTGGGCATCATTCAATTAAGTACCAATTTGGAGGCAGATGTTTTTAACTTTGCAAAATGTTATGAAGCAAAGGTTAAACACATTTATCTGATAATATTATTTTCTTGTCATTGCCAGTTCTCTGTGTTACATTCACATAGACAGATCTTACTTTCCATATATGTTTACATTGTTCATCAGTACATTTCTTCGTTTGGACTGGATTTGACATTTTTGTTTACCTTTGAGTCCTTCGCAAGGGTCTAGGATAGGCAGATGTTATTGTATGTTAAAGGTTCATCGCGGGTTGTAAGCTGTTCAAAGTAAAACTTCTTTTGCAATTTACCGATGGGGATTTTGTCAAAGCTGACGGTTTTCATGCATCCTTCAGATGTGTCTGAATTGCATCCAGAGTGACTATTGATACTCACCTAGACTCTTGATGTTATTTCCATAGGGTATCTTGATATCTTCAATTTTCACTATTTTCCTCCTTTTGATGGTAAGGATGGCACTTTGTCCAGCCTAAATTCCATTGCTATATCTTAGTTGTATATTCAGAAAGTATTCAGTGATTCTATTTCAGATGGTCTTTTTCCATGCAGCTTCAGATTGTCTGAGTGAAGCAGGTGGTATAGCCTGGCAGATTGCCCCCATTGCAGAATGGAATCAAAAGCAATGTCAGTTCAAGAGATTAAATCCATATAATGTACAGACTAGTTATGTATATGGTTATTTCTGTTATCACTGTTTGAAAACAACCATCTTTTATTTGAAAAGTTGGATCAAATTCAGATTTACATACAACTTATAGTTGAAGCAGATCAGAAATCACAGTGTGTGTATGCAGTGAAAAACTATGTTTTGCTGAGAAACACTGATGGAAAGAGTGATGGAAACTGATGGAAAGAGGAAGACTATAATCTCTTTCTGCTAAATATTTTAAACTAGCGTTAAACTTTTCATAAAATAAACTGTTTGAGATAAAACTGGCTTTCAGTTACTCTTATGACATATTGGCAAAATATGCTGCATGCAATATGGATATGATTGAAACTGCTAACCAAGTCTACACTTTATCTTCTGAAAATATATTACGTGAAAGTCTCAGTTGAGGAAAGTCAGGATAAATGATAGTGATCAAGATTTCTGACTACTATGGTGTATGTGGGAATTGCAGCTTGGAATGTAAGAAGAGCATATGATAAGGAGCATGAATAAATCAATGAGAAAAAGAGCAAGCAAGCAAGCAAATCTAGAAGGATATAATAGATCTGGATGAAAGTGACCTAATTTGGTGGAGCAAGGATCAAGATTCAGGGATACCGGGGGGGGGGGGGAGAGAGAGAGAGAGAGAGAGAGGCATACACACACACACACCAGAAAACAAGTCCAAGCCTTTATATAAGCATGTATACTTTAATATTTAAGATCTAGCCACCTTCTTCCCACTTTGCTCAATAAACAAATATGAGGCATTTTCATGGTGTTTGGAGGCAGCTGAACTATGTTTATGTAATAATTCTTTCTACACTGAGTAGCATTAATTAATGGCTGATCAGAATTATCCCTTACAATGACATTTGAATGGTGATAATGGAAGAATCAGATATGGGGAACATGTGCAATGTTATGAACGAAGGTGGAGAAATAATGTAGCATAAATGCGTTTGGTGAGGGTAGGAATGGAAGAAGAGACTACAGAAAAAGTGTTTTTGTCAGAGACCCATACATATGTTATCACTAGATTTATTTAGAAAATGAATACTGCTTAAAATACAATTCTTCTATTGTACGTTATTGCATAAGTGAATATTTTATGTACTGTATATTGTATGTATGGAATTTAGAGTAAGAACGGTATGGTGAAAATTTTACACTGCTTTTAGGGGAGAGCAGTCTCATAAAATGTCATAGGATCTAGTTTCTGTGAATAGAGAACTCTACCATGGATAACCAGAGAAGAAATTGAATAAAGCTATGTATGATATTAGGGTAAGGCTAAACTCTGGATGGTCACAAGATGGCAGATACATAGAAAATTCTTTCTTGCCATCTAGTTGCCATCTGGATTTTTGCAGGCCATATATGATGGCCCTAGGATAGGGAGTAGGGATTAAAGGCCTACACACATAAAAATAGTTAGAAGGCAAGGATGTACTTAGAAGCACAGACTCAGAGAAGGCAAATAAGGCACACTGATCATTCTATTTGTGTGAAATAGCCTTTGTTCCTTTGGCTTCCTGTTTAAATTTTTGATGAGAAAGATATATTCCATCCTGGATATATTATCTTCTGCTGGGTTTCTGTCAAAAACAAAAACAGAATCGGAAAAGAAGTGTGGGGCATTGTTGTTTACTCTTAATATTTTTTTCTGGGCTAGATTACTAGGAAAATCTCAGTAAGGTAAGATACATAGACTTACAAGACATATTCTGTAGGTATCTATTGGAGCAAAAGGTTAGGCTGATTAGACTTTTGTTCTGCTCCAAAAATATTGCTCCAGTGTGGTTTACCTGTTTACATTATGCAGATGTTTAATTTAAAGCTGATTTATTACAAACTGTACAGTTATTTTCACATTTCATATAATATTTATAGGTGCAGGTATAGAAGGAATTAATGCCTGTACCTTTTAGATAAATGCAAATTAATGCATATGAAGTGGTATTTGTAACTTCCCAAGCAATAACATATATTTATATAATAGAGTATTTCCAGATTGGCATAGTATAGGTTACATATGGTAGATTAAATCCTGATTAATTCATATAATTCATAGGAATTCTAAGCCATGGTATTTTCCATTTGTGATCCTCATTATTTTGTTTTTCACCATTTATTTTGGCTTATTTTTTACCAGAAAAGGTTAGAGAAAATAGGCTGAACACTGTGATTAATAGCAATAAGAACCCTACGTCTGAAAAACTGTATGTCAGATTCACATTAAGTATAATATAGAAATAGTTGTAAGCATGGTTCAAATACCATTTTATATGTTTTTAAGCAGGTGGAAGTCCATTGGATAGCCCCCGAAATTTTTCTCCAAATGCACCATCTCACTTTTCCTTTGTTCCTGCCCGTAGGTATGTATGAGTGATTTTATTCTATTATCTCAGTCCATTTGAATTGCCAGTACTGAAGAATATTGTTCAAGATTAAGGTGACCAGATTTTCAGATTGGTAAAGAGGGACCCCATTGCCCGGGAAGGGGGGGGGGGCTTGATTAAAAATTTTATATTTTGTCAAAAGGTCACACAAGGCGATTAT